GTTTTTACACACTTAAAAACACTAAAGTACCTAAAAACCACGTATGTACTTAAAATCACTTAAAACATGCACTTAAGTACTTAAAAAAAACTTAAAAACTTAAATACTTGCAAACTACTTATGTACTTAAAAAAACTTAAAAGCACTTAAGTACTTAAAAGATTTTTAGTACCTACAAGTTTTTTAAGTACTTAAAAACACTTAAGTACTTCAAACTTAAATACTTGAAAACTACCGAAGTACTTAAAAGATTTTCAGTACCTAAAAGTTTTTTAAGTACTTAAAAAAATTTTTTACACGCTTAAGTACTTAAAAACACTTAAAAGCATTTAAGTACTTAAAACAAGTTTTTACGCACTAAGATACTTAAAAACACTAAAGTACTTAAAACCCTGACCCCGACCCCTAAACCCTATCCTTACCACCAAACCTAACACTATCCTTAACGCCTACCCAACCCCTTAACACTTACCTTGAGATCATGACGCAAAGTTGAGGATTTAGGTGTCACGGGGGATTAAAGTTTAGGGATGGTGTGAGGGGTTCGGGTAGATGTGAAAGCAGTGAGGTGGTTTTGCAGTCTGGATTAGGTACTTCAGCGTTTTGCGTTAGGAGATTGGGTTGGGATTTAAAATGTTAGTGGTTTATGATAAGGGAGTCTGGGGGTGATTGTTTAAGTTAGGGCACGGGGTAGGACAGAGGTGTCCTCAAGGGCCACTGTCCTGCCCGTTTTCCAATGCTGATTCAGGGCTGGCTGAGGGAGATGGGGGTGTCTAGTGATTAGGATCCAGGGGTTGCTGTCAAGATTGGGGTTACTGTTAGTGGCTAGCGATTTGGGTGTTATGGACAGAGTTCAGGTTTGGATAAGGGTTAGGTGTTCCAGCAGTTAGGCTTTTTGGGTTCAGGGGTTAGGGCCATTGTGCACCTTGGGTTAGGTGCAGTGTTCCGAATTTTCATATGTCTGAGCACACAGAGGACCACTGTGAGCAACATCAGAAGTTAATGCCTTATTAAGAAGATCAAATTACAACAATTTCCATAAATTTGATTTTAATGTAATTCGGCACAGTTAGAAGTGAAAAAAGACAAAACTCATGGATTGTTTGGGAGAGACAACTTTGGCTTTATTCAGTTAGGTGCAGTTTTGGCCTGGATGAGGGTCTTGACCTTGAAGAAATGAGACAACTTTCAGGCGTAACATTTTGTTTACATAAAAACATTCACATTTTCCACGATGGGTGCTGTATCTTGTGATAATCTTATTAGCATTTCTACTACTCACAAATTACCGAGTCATCATAGAATTTAATGATTAATGTCCATAAATAAAACATCGTACTGATGTGACTAGAATAAGCACAAATTGGACTACATTAGCATTTCTACTACTCACAAATTACCTAGTCATCATAGAATTTAATGATTAATGTCCATAAATAAAACACCTTACTGAATGTGACTAGAATAAGCACAAATTGGACGACACTTTTTCCACATCTGTTGTCCTCACTTCTCCAATGGTTGTACACCCGAGTCTTCGTATAATTCCAACAGCATTCTAATGACTTCTGCTGAATGTGTCGCTTGAGGTAGTCCAGCTTCCATTTAGTCCATATTTTACATTGGAAAATTTAATTTACAGGTTCACTCGAAAAAGATCTCACCCAGTTTCACCGCTTGTTCCTCAATTACATTTGTTGATTAATGCGCACTGTCCCAATGAAATAAGAAAACCAAATTTCATATGCTCTGACAGCCATTCCAACCTAAAAGAACCACTGCTCATTTTTGTTTGGGTTAGTTGTTTCGCCATGATAAGGGGTCAGCATTAGCGTCACTTAATTCACTGGAGATAAGGAGTTAGGTCTTAAAATTGGTTTTAGGATTATAGAGATTGGGTGGTATGGATTTTCAGGGTAGGGATGTCCAAACTGTCATGAAGAGCCACTGTCCTGCCCGTTTCCCAGTTCTCCCAGGAGCAGCACACCTATTTCAAATAATCAGGATCGTTTTAATGCTGTTTCAGAGCTGGCTGATGAGCTGATCATCTAAATCAGGTGTGTTGCAGCCGGGAGAGGTGGAGAACAGGCAGGACAGTGGCCCTCCAAGGCCCAGAGCTGGACATGCCTAGAGTATGGAAGAGGGTTCGGGTTTCAATTTAGTTTTAGGATTTAGGGGCCGCGGGTGAAGCTGGTTAGGGATTAAGGGCTAGCATTTTAGGGGGTAAAGGGTGGACTGGGGGTTTCAAGGGCTCACGTTCAGGGTTGGTCAAGAGGTTAGGGTGGGGGGGTTAGGTGTGAGAAGGTCATGGTTGTGGGTTAAGGTAAAAGTTAGGGCGAGGACGTTTTGCTTTCAGGCATTTTAGGTTAAGACAAGGTGTAGGGCTAGAGTTAGGATTAGATGTTAGAGGGGCTAGGAGTAGAGTTTATCTTGGGTTAGGCATGAGACAGTTAGGTGTTTAGGCAAAAAGGCATTCAGCATTTTGGTGGTTCGGCATTTATGGTGAGGTTACAGGGGGATTAGGGGTAAAGTGCGGGGTTAGCGTTAAGGGTCTGGTTAGGGAATTAGGAGGTAGGATTTAACCCATGTGCTGCAGTCGATCTAAATAAGTTTATATAGCGCAACATACAATTTTACAAAAATTGTAAAAGTATTATTCCTGAATATTTATTTCACTTTCAACCACTCGACATGTTCAGTGGCATCAGTGCTATACATACACATATAGTTCTTATTTTTTTCTTTGTATTTTTGCCCTCTATGGACAATAAAAGCGGTATTGTGCTATGACCAAAACATAAATATAAATCTATATAAATAAAACATGAATTGGAATATTTCATATCACACA